GGGCGATCGTTTACAAGACTGTTTACGAGTATGTCACGAAAAATACAAAGGAGAATCAACCCTTTTCGTAATAGACGACTGCAGCGCAACTCACAAAAAAGAAAGATATGCTTTCGTATTTAGCATTCTCCGGACGGCATACTCAGCATAGCGTTTGGGTACTTACTCAAAAATACAAATCTGTCCTGAAAGATCTCAGAGAGCAAACCAAATGGGTAGCACTGTTTCATTGCAAAGATCGAGATTCATTCGAAGAATGTTTACGCAAAAAAGAAGTCATTTATACCAAGCTCGAACGAGATAAAGTCAGAAAACTGTTATCGGCAACGAAGCACTGTAAACTCGTATTAAAAACCGATCAACCAGCTGCTTATGCAATTGCTTAGCAAAATGTAGCAAAATTATAGCAAAATGTAGCAAAATTATAACAAAATTATAGCAAATATTGCAAAATGTAGCAAAATTACGATAAATTGAACATTAGCGGTTAATATGACATAAAATGTGGTTCGAAATTATCATTCTTTCGCAACAGTTCATTATTACGGGATGTATTGGATATGTCATATTATATTATGTTAGACTTAAATATCTCCTTAGGTATTACATTATGGAATGCGACGAACTCATCGAAAAAATGCTCAAAGATGATCATGTAGATCAACATGTTGATAAATCTTTAGATAGCCGGTGGAAAATGTTCCCAATATTTGGGGGAAAATTATACCATCGAAAAAATTGATAACATGACCGACGAAGAAATTAAAAAACTGTACTCGCGTTACGAGTCTAGACTGGGAGCTACCATGACTAAAACGATAGGGTCGGCTATATTACAACTATACACAGTCGTAGCTAGTACGTTTCTTCCTATCCCGGCAGAACATCTCATGTATTTATGCGAATCTCTAGAGAAAGACCCATTCATCGAACACGCTATAAGTGCAGTGAGCTGTGAGTTTTATCATAGATACGGAATGTTCTTAGCTCCGTTCACCACAGCTTTAATAACGGCTAGGTATTGTCAATTTAAACATACGTGCCCACTTAATAATAATGGAGACTCAACAAGTGACACCACAACAGATTGTGAACAAGGATGCACAACAGCAACAGATTGCGGAACAACAAGTGAATGAGGAACCACCACTAACACAAAAACAACCCAGAGTGACAAAGAATCCTTTGAAAATCGCAGCTGGGAGGAAGGGAGGACTCGCGAGGAAAGCGAAATTAATAAATAATTCAAATATTAATCCGATTAAAACATGGGCACTAGTAGGAGTTGCTGGTATAGCAGCTGTATGGTTGTTTTATAAGACCGGAGAAGAGAAAACGTTACCCCCAATGCAACAAGAAGTTCAATTAGAGGTTAGCCCCCATGTAATGCTATAAGAAGCATGACTACTCCAGTTACAGACGGTAAAATGTTGGTAAACGCAACGTATCATTCAGCGGTGGTCACCGGCTTGGCCATTGGCTATGCCGTATGGCTAAAATGATTACTAAAGCCACACCTCCCAAGCTAGATTTTAATGGATATGATATCGGAATGATGGTTCTGAATATTGGATTATCTATGGCAACGAAGGATATACTCATCAAACAAGGGCTTATCCCGGAAGACATAATGAAGTAATTAATTAAACATTTGAATATTTTATATTCATATACTATGGCAACAATTGTGATGATGGTCGGTGGAGCTATTGTTAATGCTCTAGCTTTTTCGGGGAGTAATTTTTTGATTTTCTAGTATGAGGGAATCAAACACTAAAGAAGTTGAAGAGGAACGTAAACGACATAACAATGCTTTAGAACAACTCGAAGCAGCCCAGTCACAATTTACGCGGCAGAGAATGAAGAGATTAAATTTTATTCATGAAGAAATGCGTAAGAAAGGGCATTCAATTCATGTCGAATCTGCCATGCACGAATACTTCCTCGTTTATGGGAAAAAACTTGACCCAATACCGAGACCAACAATGAGTCAGTTTTATACACCGTCAGAGCCTCAGAAAAACCGCGAGGTCACATTTGTGATAATGGGGTTATCTGCTGTATTGATTTTCAGCTATACCATGCCATAAACATAACACGCATAAACCATGACCTAGTTAGAGCAACAGCTAATCTATAAATAGCGTTAGCTGACTGCCTAATCAATATCTCACCAGTGTAGATGTGATTTGCATTTAGACAAATGATATGATAGATGTATAAACCACGAATCATTGCAGATTTACACTCATGGGTAAAAAAACTCTATGTAACCGACGCTGTGTTGAAATTTACTGCGGCATACACAATTATTACATCAGGCGCGGAAACATAAACTATATGTGTTCTGTATGCGGGATAGGGGTCAAAGGTCGTTATTGTTTATGTAAGGAACACGGCGCTGATAGGGTCAGGAACCAGATTATTTATGCTAGGAAGAGAGATTACATCAATGAGAGGAATAGGTTGGGGAGAATACGTATTTAGATATATGAAAAACAACCAATTAGACATTTGTCTCATTTTGCATATACCTTTCAACCACAATGGTTTTTGTCAGAGAGTTGAAGGCTATGGCAAAGCAAAGTGGTCTACGTGGATATTCTCGAATGAGAAAAGCTGAATTGTTTACCTTACTCGGTTTGGAATACAACAAACCCCAGACTGTTAGGGAACTCAAAGATCAAGCGAGAAACAGTGGGCTGAGAGGTTATTCTCGAATGAGAAGAGCTGAATTGATCGCTTTACTAGATAATAATGATGTTGAACAAAATGATAATAATGTTGATATTGATAATGATGTTGAGAATAAACAACAAGAATTAATATTTGTACCCACATCCGCCGGCGTTGGTAAATATCTAAGAGGTTGGAAGATGGATATTAATTCCAACATGGATATTAACGATATTAAGCCCATCATATCGAGTAAAATTAACGAGGAGTTAGATGATTTAAATAGTATAAAATACCAGCTGACGATTAAAATGTTATTGAGTAAAAGTAGCGCAGACAATAGCACCGAATATACCCAACCATATTTCCGTAGCAATCAAGAATTGCAGTACACAGGATAAGCTCCGCTCCGGAACATATCCCCAGAATCAATTCATTTCTGATCGAAAGAGATGGAAAATATCATTATACGTGGATAAAGAGTTTAAACAGGCTATTATACGATCAAACAAAACATAAAGAAAAGAAATATTTCTGCGAAAGATGCCTACATGGGTACAGCAGACAAGATCTATTAGAAGCGCATAAAGAAGACTGTAGAGGTGTTGGACAGACCGCTATCAGGATCGATATGCCTAAAGAGGGGAAAAATATATTAAAATTTGAACATTATTGTAATCAAATGCCAGTACCGTACGTAATTTACGCCGACTTCGAAGCGCTTATCAAACCCATAGAAAATACTGAACGGAATAATGATAATAAAGGTAGTTTTACGTACAAAACTCAAGAACATATTCCTTGTGGGTTTGGATATATAGTTGTAAGGTATGATGGGATAACAAACACGCCCGTGATTTACAGAGGTCCCAATGCAGCGGGAAAGTTCCTAGAATATCTACAAAATGAAGAGAGACTAATCAGGGAAAAATTATCGTGTAAGAAACCCATGTGTATGACGAGGGATGATTGGAGGGCCTATAAGAAGTCAACGAGTTGTCATGTTTGTAACAAACCCCTGGATGGGGATTCCGTAAGAGATCATTGCCACGTCACGGGTAATTATCGGGGAGCTGCGCATAACGAGTGTAACTTGAAACTAAAAAATGAATTCTCAAACAATACCCATCCCCGTTGTGTTTCACAACCTAAGGGGATACGATTCACATCTCATTATGCAAGCTATCTCAAAGACCGACGGCGGTTTAACGTGCATTCCTAATAATATGGAAAAATACATATCGTTCTCGTTGACTAAACCTATACATTATAGGGACAAGGATGGGAAATCTAGAATAAAGCAAAGTAATGGGCTTAGATTCATAGACTCCGTACAGTTTCTGTTATCTTCCCTGGACAATTTAGCTAATGCGAACAATCCCGATGACTTTGCGATAACAAATCAATATACCGATAGGTTAACACGTCATTTGTTGCTGAGAAAAGGTGTATATCCTTACGAATATATGGATGATTGGTCTAGATTCGAAGAAACTGAATTACCACACCTTGAATCATTCTATAGTAACTTAACAGAATCTAAAATAACAGATGCGGATTATGAACACGCTTTGACGGTCTGGGATAAATTAGGTTGTAAGAATTTAGGCGATTATCACGATCTGTACTTAAAAACCGATGTACTGTTACTCGCCGATATATTCGAGATATTTAGAAAGACATGTTTAAAACAATACGGCTTGGACCCGGCTTGGTACTATTCCAGTCCCGGACTATCGTGGGATGCATTGTTGAAGAAGACCGGCGTAGAACTAAAACTACTCACAGATTACGATATGCACTTGTTTATTGACAAATGGATTAAGAGGTGGTATATCGATGGCAGCGAAAAGGTATTCTAAGGCTAATAATAAATTAGTGGAAGGATACTGTAATGTACAAGCCTTTTGTACATTTCGGTCAGTAGACAGTGAGATGAATCATATTGTATATGTTGTATGTGATACAGCATACCGTAAAGATATACGTTATTGCTACATGAATTAACGTATATCACCACTGATCTTACTGACTGTTTGTTTAATGTGCAAAAACAAAATGTGAACACGTTCTAAATCACCTGTTTCGATTTGGCAACGTGATAGTTCGTGTGACGTCACCTATATTCGTGAGTCTGTTCCACGAAACTACTTCTTGTAGCATAATGGCTTAAATCAGCCTTTTATGGCTACAAAAGTGCATCTAGTCCATCTAAATGCATTGTATATTACTACACAGCCGTGACTCGAAGTAAAATAACTTCTGTCACTGGTGGAGTGCAATTTCCCCACGTTCCACCGACCGTATCCTCGTGCGGGAGACTACTTCCGGTATGACGTCACTTTGTTGACAGTTTGATCGGTTGTACTTTTTCTGATACGAGAGTGAAAGCCGGTTCGAGCCGAGATATGTGAGTTGACATTCAAGTATTTTATATTTATTGTACATCTTCCTAACTGAATGAAATACTGAAAAGAATAATTATATTCTTGTAAATTAATAAATCTTATTGTGCAATTCTTAATTGTGAAATTATTCTTAAACAAATTAAATAATTAAAACTGTGTGGTTGGTGGTATTGGGAGTGATCCACAATTCGCTACCAGAGCTGTACCCCAATACCCACCCCCTGAACCGTTACAGATACGATCCGAGTAAACCCGACATGCACATATTATATCTCGACGCTAACAATTTGTACGGATGGGCTATGAGTCAACCTTTACCCACGGCTGGTTTTGAGTTGGTCGATGAGAATAATATCGAAGTGAATGATATCAATAATATCAATGTGAATGATGTGAATAAAGGGTACATACTAGAAGTTGACTTGGAATATCCAAATTCGTTACATAAAGATCATAACAGTTATCCGCTAGCTCCCGAAAGATTAATGGTTAATAAAGATTGGATGTCGGAATATCAACACTCCTTGATGGGTTAGCTAACGTAGAAAAAACTCGTACCAAATTTGATGGATAAGACAAAATATATAGTTCACTACAGAAATCTCCAGTTATATCTATCGTTACGTATGAAACTTAAGAAAATACACAGAGTTCTAAAGTTTGATCAAAGCCCTTGGATGGAGCCCTATATAAGGTTGAACACAGATTTAAGAAAGATGGCTACCAGCGATTTCGAAAAGAATTTGTATAAGCTCATGAATAACTCAGTATTTGGTAAAACTATGGAGAATCTAAGGAAGCGTGTTGATGTTAAATTAGTCAGATCTAATGAGGAAGAAAGACTCAGGAAACTTATAGCCAGTCCGGCTTTTAACAGAAGCAAGATATTCGATAACGACTTAGCCGCGTTGCATATGCAGAAGAGTAATATAAAATTAAACAGACCGGTGTACGTCGGTATGAGTATTCTCGACTTGTCAAAACACTTAATGTATGACTTTTATTACAACGAACTTAAGAAGCAATACGGCGATAGATGCGAGGTGTTATATACCGACACAGATTCTTTGTTGATGGAAATACAAACCGAGGATGTGTATAAAGATATGGCAGAAAAAATAGATATGTACGACACGAGCGATTACCCAAAAGATAATCCACTGCACAGCGTAGTAAATAAAAAGGTGTTAGGTAAGATGAAGGATGAATGTGCTGGGACCCCTATAGCGGAGTATGTCGGATTAAGACCTAAGATGTATTCTATAAAGAAGTCCGATAATGGGGAGATAAGAAAAGCTAAGGGCGTTAAGAAGTATGTTGTAAAAAAGCATATCAAACACGAACAGTATAAAGAATCATTATTCAACGGTAGAACGTTCAAACACGAGATGAACTCTTTAAGAAGTTACAATCAAAGGATATATGGATTAAGAATGAACAAGACATCATTATCCCCCTTAGATACAAAGAGATGGATTGATAATGATGGTGTAACTACCTACGCTTATGGTTATGGTGGTAATACCGTATCATCGGGAACTATGAACAACTCTTCTCGTACAAATGCCCTACCCGGTCCATCTTGAAGGTAATAAGGAATAGGCTCTCCTTCTTTCGTAACCAATCGACTAATGTTATATGTCTTAAGGGACCATATGGGATCGGTTGCGCGATGTAGGCCTCCTTCGAGTTAGCCGGGCTGGTATAAATATCTTACCCTTACTCTATCCGGAAGTTTTCGTTCTTTGCCTCTCCTCGGTGCTGAAGATTCGGAAGTCACGGATTTCATTTTAATAGCATCGGATGGTTTCTTCCCTATTAATCTCGTTACTTCATTATTCAGCGCTGATACAACGGCTGATAATCGTGTCACCCATTCGGTTTATCTCAATCGCTCGGATTTCATTTCGATCCGATACTGATAGCCAAACAAACGTTCCGCTAATGTCCTGTTAAATCTTTCGACGATAGCTTGACTGCGGTGGGCCTCTCTTTCACCACACCTGATTTCGACATCGTGCTTTGTTAACAGTTTAGTTATCGATCCCATAAACTCGCGACCGGGATCTACTTTAAATAACTTAGGCCATTTTAGTGGTCCGCGTTTATATATGCGACTCAGTGCATTAGCTACTTCTGTTGAATCTTTCGAGGTTAATGGCTCAGCCTCTTTGTATCGACTAGCCACATCCACTACTGTTAAAGCGTATTTATACGTTTTGCGTTTTACCTTATCGTGGGGAAGAAACAAGAGGTCAGCCTGATGAACTTCATTCGTTGTAAAAATATCAAACTTCTTCCTCGGTATATAACGTGGTGCCGGTAGGTATATTTGCCACATCGCTTGTTTCTTTAACAAATCCTTGGCCACATCTTTGGATACCTTAGCCGCGCAGGCTAATTTTTTTATTGCTCCTACACCTTTCCAATATCCTCGTGGGCTATAGTAAATTTTATTCATTATTAATTAATATTGATGTTTCTTTTAATACGACTTATGACTATCGTTGAATCGCATCATCATTTTCGCATAAAAATTCCCCCTGTAGTAGCGGTATAGGTATATAAATCCGGATCCAGTGGAGTTGCGGCAGAACCCCCATTACCTATACTACTACATGATCTCTCGCCCAATCCAAACGTGCTTGCCCGTGACGCTGGGTATGAGGGCTGCGAATGAACACTCTTCTTGACCGGAGACCAGCCCCACACAGGCAACTACGGGCTGTCTGAGTCTAAATGTTTACTCAAGTGGCATTCTGCTGTTCAATTCTGAGTGTAATTGCTGTCACAAAGTGATAACGTTTTGTGAAGAGCAAAAGACACCGGTCATCCCGCTGTGTGGAGGAACGTTCACGACCACCTCCATGTCGCTGAGTCTGATACCGATTCCATGCTCATGCTTTGACCTACACCAAGACGTTGACAACGTGGCGTTGTGTTGCCCCAGTTTCAAGCATCCCTACGCATTTGGCTAATTCCTCGGCTGTCCAACGATGTCGTTGGCGTTGAGGGGGCATTTCTGTTTTCAGTAATTGAAGTCAACGCTTGTCAGGCTTTCAAACAACGGAGTGGAAGGTTCCAATGACAAACAGTCACAACGATGGCAGCTGTGGTTATCATGCATCACGTACATATGGTGTCCATCTAAGCATGCATTTACCTTCTTAGTGTGATAGTGTGGCTCCAGAGGGGTCACCCAATCATTGTGTACCGGGTTTTATTCCAGTATGACTTCATATCATACTTTCAGGTTGCCTTAAATATGTCATCCTTAGCAAACTTTATAGCAAAAGTATATTTAACAAAACAAAAACAGTACGAGTTGATGACAGTTGACTGCTCGAAAACATTTTCAGTGGAGGTTGTTGGAATAATACTGTCTGGTTAGTTTATGCTGTTAGTATAAGAATGTTACATTGATGTCTACTCATTTTCACAGTAGGGAGAGTGATGAAAACTGTTCTTGTTGAAGACAACGTTCAGTCCATGTATTCCCTCATGGTATTTCAACTAGTTCCTCACGTGGCGTCACGCAATAACGTGTTCGCTGTTTTGTTGAATAAAAACAATAATAATAAAAAATCTATTCATTCATTGTATGGCCCCGACATATTTATAATGACGTGTTTATGAATCACTATCAAATAGTGATGATACTAGGGGGCACCAGTCACAAACACAAGCAAAGGCAGGTTAAGTGTTCACCTAAAAAAACACACGGGTATATATGGTACAAGTCGCAATTGGAAATTGCATCGAACGTCATTTTGTAACTGATGCGGTAATGGAAATGTCCTCCACATGTCCACCACAACTCTTTGTGAAAGCTTTGCTGATGCCTTGAGTGTTGACTTTGATCATACACCTTTGAGAAAGAGTTATACGGCGCTCTTTGAAATCGAAGAAACAGCATGCTCGATTGCACCTCAAAGGGTAAGACAAGTAGGCACCCAATGCTCGAGCTGCTCGGATATTGCTTTGAAAGTCGACTATTCCAAAGTTGAAGTCACCCTTCTTGTCATACTGTCTTCTGGATATATTTCTGTCACTCTGAATCTTTATGCCTTATCTTTACATTTTAAATAAATGTTATCAATTAGTGAGTCACATCGGCAGTATTTCAGCCATATCGTGACGAGAAGTACATTACTAATACATATATTTAGACTAAATGAAAAGCTGTCAACGATGGACAGTTCAATAACTAGAATATCACAGATTTGATTTAAAACTAGTTGAAAATATTTAAAAGCAGAAGGTATTAGTTAACAACATAATATAAAAATGGGCTAGAGATCGTCAGTCACTGAAGGGTGATCACCGCACATGGGACCTTTGCTTCCTGCATGGACTGTTATCAATTAGATAGTCCAGCATTTTACATATTTTTTTCTCAGTAAACTTAAGATGACATTTGCTTTTATTTGGGACAATTTGTTCTGAACCACTGGCGATAGAGATGTAACTAAGGTCACCAAGCTTTTCCTGAAGTTAGTCAGGTGGGATATAGTTGTGTACATAGCTTCAAGGACCCACGACAACAAGAAAAATGATTTGATGTGTGAAGCGTTTCTGACGACGTACAAGTCTAAATATGGCCTAATATGGTCTAAATACTGCATGTGAAAAAGATTGAGTGAGTGAGTGAGTTGGGTTTAACGCCGCTTTTAACAGTGTTCCAGTTATATCGCGGCGTGTCAGCTTAATGTGGGAGGAAAGCCCGAAGTGCCCCCGCATGTGAAAAAGATATCACTAGATTTAGTAATATCAATGCGAATGGCTTCAATCCTCTCTAGTACGATCCATGTCCTCAATATTGCGTAATTTTGGGCTTATCGGTAATCTGATAGTCAAGAACAAGATATAGATAAGCTACAGTTATCAAGACAGACAGCTTCTAATGAAAAGCAACAACCAAGACAGTGTTAACCAACTACCATCAACTCATACAGTTCTTGTTTTGTTAAATAGCTCAGCATCACACAAAGGTTCTATATAT